GGTCTTACGTATACATGTTCATATTTATAATGGTTTCTGATATAACAATTAGGTTTTATAACATTCACACTTCTGCATGTTCTGTATACCAAATTCGTATCTTTTTTTCAGACCGAATGTTTTCCAGGATCAAAATCATTTCGGGATTTTTTTATTTCTTTGTATTAAATCTCAGAAATTTACAGAATATACTGCTTGTCCGCTTTAGGAGTTTTCTTGTCAGTTTAAACAGACGTATATATGTCTCTGGTTTAGAGTGGGTTTATGAATGAATGATAAGTCTTACAAAGGTACAAGATATCAAGCACATTGAAAATTGATTTCGACGTTCTGTCTCCATTTAAAAAAGGAAAGTTGACGTTAGATTGATTCTGTTATTTTTTTTAAACATCGTTGGTCAAATAGCTTAAGAATTATATAAATACGTTGTGAGATTTATAATATTTTAATAAGGGCATTCCTGATTAGGTAAATGAAGATTGCTTTGGACGACAAAACTATATTTTTGTAACTGATAATTTTCTCTGCACATTTTAATATTCAAGGTTACCGATGATAATTTAAAATAGTACTGTTTTGATATATACGCTCGTTTTCGTGTGCCATTTATAATATTTATATAATTATTTTATTAAAAGTGATTCAGAATTTCGATGTTACAACAATATACTCACCTATTTATTTAAAAACTGAGCAAATGCAAAATGTTAAAAAAATATATATATAACGGCGATTAAGGTATTTTGCCACCATATTCCTCCCTTAATAATTAAAAAAAATCTGTCTCATACCTGCAACCAAGGATTTGTATAGTGAGACTATACAAATCCTTGCTGCAACGGTGAACCCTTGAGGACAAACACCACTCAAGTGAAGATCAAAGGATTAAAATTACATAATGCTAATCTTTTAATTACAGTGAATTTAACCACGCCTTTACCAGGTGGTGTCAGCATAATACACATGCATTGTATTTACACAGTACTAGACTGATGCAAGGATTTGTATAGTAAGACAAATCCTCGACTGAAGTAATAGGGGAGAATACAAACGTGAATTTCTATTATACTATCAGTTATATATGTTGTTCAAAATATCCGTCAAAAAAAAAAAATCATAAAAAAATTCTATTGTATGATTTGCTTTTATTACTATAATCATATCAGAAACCCTAAAAATATAAATCGTAAATTTTAATTTAAAAAAATGCACGGCTAATCACTTTACTTTCTGAATTGTTAGTTGGTTAATAGCTACACCAAAAGTCGTTGATGCGCTTTAAATCGCGTTATTAGATGATTAACGAACAAGACTTTAAATGAGATTAATCCACTCCCGGCATGCAAAAAGACTTAAACTACGTCACATAAGTCAGGAAGTTTGAATAAATAGAATTAATAATTCCCAATTTTCTTCTTTATTAGTTTTCATATCCAGATAAAACTTGGTGAATATGTTTTTAATGGTATTATGAACATAATAAGATGATAAGTAAAAAATCGTGAATTTTCCCTTTAAGTACAACATACCATTTACTTTATTTCATTTTTGAGTTGCTTTAGTAAAAATCTGGGTTTAGGTTGATGATATTTTAGTGATATTTTAATACCATAAAGGCAAACATCCATCTACAGTGTCATCATGTTGAGACAACCTGGGTTTACTGAAATCAAAGAAGTCTATTTGTGTTTATTTTCTATGACAATAACAACAATGTTATTAAATGTAACTTTTAACATATAGTTCCATGTCATGAGAAGTACTGGGTACCTGAAATGGAAATTTTTACCTGGACAAGTGTATGCTAATATAAAACCCTTCTTGAATTTAACTGTTGAAGAGTTTTCTATTCACTTCTAATTTAAATATATAGTACAATGAATTTTTGTAACAAATTGAACACCATTATCTTCACAAATATAGTTTGTAAATGGTTTTGCACTTAAATCCTTTCCCCAGAAATTTTGATAATAATTAAGTCAATAATATTTCACATTGTACAACACACTTTGATAAGCATGGTCACATGATCTTTATTTTATGCTTGATTGACTGATTTAATTTCTTAATTATGACATCACCTAATGAGACTTATAACCCTATTTGTACTTAATTGAGCAACACAAAGGGTGCCACATGTGGAGCATGAACTCCTTACCCTTCCAGATCACCTGAGTTCATCCCCTTTTTTGATGGGGTTCTGTTACTCAATCTTTAGATTTCTATGAAATCTTTTGTGGACTTGTTTGTCTTTTCGTCATTTTTTGCCATTACGTTGTCAGTTTTTCTACAACTTTTGAGGTTTGAATGTCCCCTTGGTATCATCTGCCTCTTTTTAGTTCACCTGTCAACTAAAATGTTTGAAAAGAAAGAACATAAGTTGAAATGCAAGCTTTGTCCATTATCTTGAAAACCTCTATAAATAGAGCAAATGTTCCTGATGTTGAGATCTACCTACTGTCCATTCACATCAAAACTGTCAAACAACTAAGAGGAGTTATTGCCCTTAAATGACGAATTTTACCATTTTTTAAATTTTTGCCTATTATCTTGAAAACTATAATAGATAGATACACTTAATAACAGCAAAAATGATCAGGAAATCAAGATCTACAAATAAGTCAACATGGCTGAAATTGTCTTTCAACTCCCTATTAGAGTTATTGCTCTTTAATGATGGCTTTTACCAAAAATGATCAGCAAGTCAAGATCTACGAATAAGTCAAATTTTGCTGAAATTGTTAATAGACTCTTTATAGGAATGAAAGCCATTAAATGATGTTTTTGTTTTTTTGTGTTTTTGACAAAAAACTAAAGAAGATAGGGATTTTTGTCATGAGTTCTATTCAAGTCCACAAAGTTGGAAAGTGTTCAATGTTGAAGATACACATAGTAGATATAAGAAGATGTGGTATGAGTGCCAATGAGACAACTCTCCATCCAAGTCACAATTTGTAAAAGTAAACCATTATAGGTCAAAACACGGCCTTCAACAAGAAGCCTTGGCTCACACCGAACAGCAAGCTATAAAGGGCCCCAAAAATGACCATTCAAACAGGAAAACCAACAGTCTAATCTATATAAAAAACGAGAAACGAGAAACACTTATGAACCACATCAATAAACAACAACCACTGAACATCAGGTTCCTGACTTAGGACAGGTGCAAACAAATGCAGCGGGTTTAAACATTTTAATAGAACTAGGTGAGTGACACAGGCTCTTTAGAGCCTCTAGTTTGTAAATGCTACAGTTTTATTATTTAGTACAATAAAATAAGAGGAACTTTAGATACTTTTCACATAGTGGTCTGTATTATTGCATTAAATAGTTGATAAAAAGAGAAAATAGGAATCACCAATAATATTGTCTAGTACAACAGACTACTATGAAGAAAGAAAAAAGACACACCAAGTAACAAACAACACATGGTCCAGATAGCCTGACTTGGTTCCAAATGTGGTAGGTTCAAACCAGTTACAGTGGTATATTTATTTCAATTTATTTTTGTGACCTTAGTTTTAAGCTTTGTTGGTTTATCTTAAAGTTTGATTTAGGTCCAAGATATGGCTATTATCATCTTCATTTAAGGCATGTATCCATTTCCACATTTCCTTCTATTCATTCTTACTTGTTTGCAAATTTTGTTAGTATCAGGAAATTTAAGTTTAAATCAGGGGCGGATCCAGCCATTTTTAAAAGGGGGGTTCCCAACCCAGGAGAAAGGGGGTTTCCAACCATATGTCCCCATTCAAATGCATTGATCATCCAAAAAAAAATGGGGGGTGGTGTTCCAACTTATATGTTATATTCTGAAAAATAAAATAACATACTTGGTAGGTTGTCCTAGATCAGACTCAGACAAGGTCATTAAGTTATATTAGTACAGTTGGTTTACTTCGTGCCTAGGTTGTCTCCTGAGCAAAAGATCATGAATTCTATACTGGTTCAAATCTATGACTTCAAATAATTGCTTTTTGGTGCTATCCTTGATCTATGCCATTATTAAATGAGAACAAAAATTATTCGGATCCAGTTTAGAATATGTATCAGTGGGGTGACTTGTCTTAATCTTGCAGACAGATACATTGTGAGCTACAACATTCAACCTCATGCCATTGTTCATGCTCCCTGAAAACATCACATTGGCATATGGTAGTCGCTTTGTCAGTGTGTCCAAAACAAATGGTTCCCAGATGATAACTTGAGTATCCCTTGCTGATGGATGATATAATGAATAGGGATAATCCAATTGATTGATAGGTGAGTCAGGTCCAGGTCCTTGTTTCTAAAATAGAAAAAAAATAAATAAAAATGATTTCAAGATGATAACATGGGTTTACCTTGCTTGAATGAAATTCAACTTTTACATATGGAAGATATTGACAGTCATTTTGATTTGATGAGGCACAAATGCTCTAGAAAACCAACTGTTTCACGATTTAAAAATGAACTGCAACTCGTAAGCTTACTTTTATAATGATTTAATTTAATCTCCTTCTGAGCAATACCACCAATGAATTATTTAAATATGTTGATTTTGATTATGATGTCACACATGTGGCACCCCATGTTCTATTGGAATTGGAACATGGCTTTGAAGAGCATCATATTAGGATTTATCTGATTGGACATCTATCTTTAGTCAAAATAGTTTATTACAAAATCTCCTAGTATTATATACACCCATGAAGGGTTTATCCCCATTAGGCTTATTTATTTTACACTAAGATTATGGTAAATGTAAAATTATAGATTTCAATGCCGCTTAGGACGGGTGGGGGGCTGGGGGGGAGTATTTCAGCAATTTGACCTTATGTTAAGGAAAACCATAACAAAGCAGGATACCACTTCTTTGTGTATAAACAATTACTTAATAGTCTTCAGAAGTGCGTGATTAAATGACTAAAGATTGAAAAAAAACATTTGGGGTCGTCTTTGTGTTCTGTAAATATAAAATTTTGATTAGTATTTAGATAGTTCATTTCAACGCTCTTCAAGTGAAGGAGGTTTGAAAGGGATATACATGTAAACATGATAGCTGGACAAAATGCAATTTTTCAAACTTTTCTCGGAACCCTATTTACTTGGGGATTAACAGCTCTGGGAGCTGCTTTAGTTTTTATTTTCAATAGCAGCCAGGTAGGTTTTTTTTACTTTGATCTCGTAAAACAAGTCGTACATCATGATAAAATATGACACCAACAGGTGTTGCCACATCATTAATAACCAAAGATAACATCAAAAGTTTCTTTGTGACGATAACATTCTTGTCACTTTATCAAAAGGTCACTTTTTTGTGTACAAAATATAATTCTATGATTAGAAAACCATACATTTAAAGTCCAAGGATGATATAGTTTAAATTTTTTGTCAAATTATATGTCGAATCTACATTTGTACTTCAAATTTTACCTTCTTCTTCTTTAAGTTTCTAGCTATCCTTCAATAAATGAAGATTATTTGCTGGGCGTCAACTTTAAAATTTGATTTATAATTTATAAGGTAACCAGAAAAAGAAACAAAATCAAAAATCGAAATAATATGTACATTTGAAAAATAACATTTACAATGTAGATAAAACTATATACATTTTGTACATTTGATAACAATAACAGTTATGGGTAGAAAATAGAGATTAGAGCAGATTCTGGGATCGGATACTCTTGAAACCCTGTAACAGTACTGTACTGCATGAAACTATATTTTGTGACAATTGTAACTTATCATGCTTATATATATCAGTGTAAATTTGTTTTTAAATGCATGTGTTTTATATAATACCATTACCATTTGAAACTTAGTATAGTTTTATTCAGGCAAATTCAAGCACATATATAAAAATTCACAAGACAAATTAATACAAATAATATATATATATATATATACTTTTAAAATAGTATCATAATATATTTCAAAAACAGTGCTTAGAAAGAAGCCTGGGATAACCCATAAAAGCTTACATAGTATAGCTTATTTTTAACTTTTTATTCTTATATGTGAAGAAGAATCTGCTAACCCTTTGGGAGCACCTGAGATCACCTCCTGTTTTTGTTGGGGTTCCTGTTGCCCAGTCTTTAGTTTTCTTTGAAGTGTTTGTGTACTTGTTTGCCTTTTTGTTCTTTTTTCCCATTAGCATGAGGTTGTCAGTTTATTTTTGACTTATGAGTTTTGCAAGTCCCCTTGGTATCTTCAACCTCTTTTTAAATTCTATATGTACATCAAAAACACCTAAAAAGAAATTTTACATTTTCATGTATATATTATACTGTAATTTTACCCCATGTTGTGTAGGGTATAATGTTTTGATGCGTCCGTCTGTTCGTCATGCAGTCCTGTTCTTGTCATTGCAACTCCTCTAAAACCACACAATAGAATTTCATGAAATTTTGTGGACATGATATGCAGATGTGCATATGGACAAGAAATTAAGATTCAATTTTTTTTCTAGGAGTAATGCTCCTTTTAACTTCGAATTTTAACCTAAACATACTACTGCAACAGTTTGTCATCGCAACTCCTTTGAAACCACACATTATTTCACACAGAATTTTATAAAACTTTGTAGATAATGAGGACATAATATGTAGATGTGCATATCCACAAGATATTTTTATAAATTTACTTTTATTGGAGTTATGAGTCTTTGAACTTAGGAATCTGGTGTGATTTTGTTTGCACAGTGACAATATGTGGCATTTGGGTATGTGAGCATGCACACAAAGGTTCTTTAATTTCATTACTCTTTTGTGATTTTTTTTTATCATAATACAAAAGCTTCATGAAAATATTTCCTGAATGCCAAAAATATACTATATATAGGTACATGTATATGCTTCCTTTCCTGCATCTGGAAGAAAAAAAAATGAAAAATATTTTACATACATGTATATAATGCATTTTGAGATAAATTGTATAATAGCCAAAAAATATTTTGTATTTTATTTTGATTTAATTTAGTATTTTGCAGATATATTATATAACTTATAGAGATGAGTGTAAGTTTCTTACTTCTTATTTATAGTATTATATGTAACATTCTATTAGTATCTACAGTAATCATCCACCTACATTTTGTAGAAGACAAAGTTTTAGACGATTTAATCCATACATTTTGATAAATCAACCTGATTTAAAGTAGAATAATTTAAAATGATTTGTGCTTTTGTTTACAGAGAAAAGTATTGGATGCTAGTTTAGGATTCGCAGCAGGGGTAAGATAAATTATCATTAAAGAAATTATGGTTCACTCTTTGATTTCAGGAGGAGTCGGGGAGAAGGCACTTGGAAAATATTGGGGTGTTTTTTAGGATTTCACTTTGAGGACAATTGATTTTAACTTGTTCTGGATTTTTTTATAACTATCACATATTAAAATTTTGATGGGAACTGGCAAGATGAAGTTTAAACCTTCATTACACAGGTCGTTACTCCTGAATTTAAATTTTGATGGCAATATATCCTGTTGGGTGTTATAAGGAAAAACATGGATGTCTAATCATGTTAACTGGTGGTTTTAAGTTTGAATAAAGACTTTTTATGACTGTCCAAATACTGAGAAGTTTATATAGTTGTATTGAACATCACTGGTGAATAAAAGATGTATAATTTTAACTAAGTAATTTTTACAAATTCGTCCTGGAAAAGAAAGATATGGCGTATAAATTTATGTCCCAAAATGACAGCATACATGTACATTGTACATCTGACGAAGCAAAAAAAAGCGCTTTTATTGCAGTTCTTCATCTCAGTTCTGGTGGATTGGTATTATCAAAGTTCAGGACTGATCTTGAATTTTTTTTTGGTCAGTCAGTGAAAGTGCAAATATTGGACAACTAATTGCCTGGGTATATCTTGGCTGCCAGTTTTTATTTGTGGAGGAAGCTGGAGTACCCTGAGAGAGTCGCTGACCTTCAGCAGGAAAAATGGCATTGTCAATTAAGATAGGGGTCAAATGCACCTGCCATGAGAAGAGTTATAACTCACAACCTCTGTATGGGCAGGCAAGTGACGCTGTAAAAGAAACTACTTATATATATAGTTATAATATGTTATTTATATTGAATGTTGTGATTCCTTCAAAATGGTCCAAATAACACATATCATGGACTCTACAACAAAAATTTTGTGCATGAATTAATCTTCATAAAGTCAACAGTCTTGCAGCAAGATAAAAACAATGTTTAGTACAGTATCTTGTGAACAATTTTCCAACATAAATACAGTACACACATTGTGTTTCAGTTAAACATTTGCGTTGAATGAATGAAACATTGTATTTGGCTCATTGGTGATGATATATTTATGAAGTTAAACTTATTTTATGTACATTTATTACTCTGGAAATTTCTTTTAAACAAAGAGTAGGAACATAGTAAATCATCCAAAATTATTGGCTTTACTCTAAAATACCACAAGTACATGTATCAGGGATTTCTGATTAAAGTCATCTTGTATAATCTGTGTATATGTGTAGAAATGTCAGTTATTTATTATGAAAAGAAATATCAAAGATGAATTATCTTACTTATGCTGTCAAAAGTTAAACTAAGTACAAATTTATAAGTCTTATATAGTTGACAATATTTGAAAACTTTATTAAATGTGAACATATTGTGTGGAGAAAACATGAATTTTTTTTATGGAACTATTGTTTTACAACTACAAATAATATTTGAATCAATTACATCATGTACAATGTAAATAGGTGATGACAGCAGCCTCCTATTGGTCCTTACTGGCACCAGCAATAGAAATGGCAGAATTGTCAGGGTTATATGGTAGTAATGGAGAGTGGGCATTTATACCAGTAGCTGTAGGGTTTGTTCTGGGAGCAGTCTTTGTATATGGTGCTGATGTTTTAATACCATATATTGTAAGTACATGTAGTTTTTTTCCAAAAAGGAGTTAGTAGTCGTGAGTTAAATAGTAAAAAAATGATAGTTGTGAGTTTGAGCAGTTAAAGAACATTTAGTCAAGATTCTCAGTTCTAACTTGTTCTTTATGTTTATTGCATTAGTGTACAATGTACCTTGTTTAGTCCAATTTTTAATCCATTTTATTTCAAAGGCAGACTACTTCATAAAAAATCCATCCAAATTTAATACAATAAGCCACTTCATCGTTATTGCAGCCATATTGAATAGGGGCAGTTTTTGTCTCGCCTGTCGCGGAAAGCGAGACATAGGGATTACTTTTCCCGCAACGGCTGCGATGACAGCGTCAACAATTTAGTTTTCTGCTTAAGTTAGTTTGATAGAAACTACTCGTGATAGATCATTGATATTTTGTATGAAGATGCATTACTATCAGTATATATCAGTTTGATAACAATTTTGAGGCCATGGTCCAGTGACTTTGATTTAATTAGTCATTTTCAATGTTAAGTTTTCTGCTTAAGTTAGTTTGATAGGAAGTACTTGTGATAGATCAATGATATTTGTATGAAGTTGCATTACTATCAGTACATGGTCCAGTGACTTTGATTTGATTAGCAATTTTAAATGTTAAGTTTTCTGCTTAAGTTAATTTGATATGAACTACTTGCGATAGATCAATGATATTTTATATAAAGTTGCATTACTATCAGTACATATCAGTTTGACGACTATTTTAAAGCCCTGCTCCCTAGGTCATGGTCCAGTGACTTTCAATCAATTAACAATTTTCTATGTTAAGTTTTCTGATTAAGTTAGTCTGATAGGAACTACTTACAATAGACAATATTTTCTATAAAGTTACGTTGCTGTTTGTACAACTCAGTTTATCAACCATTTGGAGGCCCTACCCACTAGTTGGTCCAGCGACTTTAAATTAATTAGCAATGTTGCTGTCCATCAGACTGTCTTTACTGAATTTTATGCCGACAGGCGAGACATATCTCTGCGTCAACAGTTTATTTTGATGGAGGGGGTAATAATAAATAAGTTTGAGAAAACCTATGCATGTTTCCAAGCAATTACTCTGTTATGTTTCAATGTTTTCCTGTTTTTTAACGCATTTTCACCATCATTATGAAAATCTGCCTCATATTCAATATGACTGCAATAACCATGAAAGGCCCTATTATGGATAATTAGACATTTATTCAGTATCCCTTTCATTGTTAATCCAGTTTCACTCATTTTGATAAAATTGAAAGTAAACAATAATGACAGGATTAGAAATCTTCAGTTGGTGCACACGGTTTCTTGTAAAAAGTAGCATACAAAAAGCAAAACTACACTACCAATGAAGCAGATTTTATTTAGTTTTCAATTTTCAGTGAGATGAATTTTCTAAGGTTAAATGATTGGCAAATTTTAATTTGAATACTAGTGTATAAATACATCCTTTAATTTAGTTGCAATTGGTTAATATTGACCTAACAACAGTGATTATTTACATATATATATTAGCTTTTTACATTCATGAATTATTGTGTTTTAAGGTCACTCCATTAAATATCATTTTGTATTTGAACTTTTGGATAACTTAATCAATAAATATTTGTAATTAAAGGACTGACAATATCCCAGAAAGAACAAATTTTGAAGAATATTCAAAATTTATGAATACTTTATTTCATCATCTAAAAATTAGTAGGTGAACCCAATTGATATTTTATCACTTTCAATAATAAAAACAGAACTGATGGTTCAGCAGCTGGTTATTACAGCTTCATATCACTATACTTTGTTATGCAGGGTTGGTCTTTATTTGATCTAGAATAAACCTTTGGGTTCACCCAATAGAAAAGAAGGATATGCCTTACAATTCATGACACAAAATCCATTCCTGCACTGAACAAAAACCGAAGTATAGGAAGAGTTATTTTATTGTTGTTCTCCATCTCAAAATCACAGCCATCACTTCAACACAGAGCAAAAGCTCAAAACCTGACTGCGAGTTTGCGACGAGCCTAGCAACAGAGAGGGTAGAAAACTAGAGAGCCTTAATTTAAACTTATACTCCAAGACACCTTGCATGGTTAACAAAATATAGTAAGATAAATGTTAACTTCAATAAAATACTTAGGATGTTTACCTGTAGAAGTCTTGTATTGTTTACAAAAATGCATTAAAGATGTAGTTAGGTCAAATTAAAGAAATCTAGAATTTAGAAGTGATACTATAAGTCAGAAGAGCATTAGTCAAGGAACGAAATAAGCTAAAAATATTGATAGGTTATGGAACTCCTTTTTGAGATATTTGATTTTTAAAAAATGCTGGGGAAAAGGTTGACTCGAAATATTTACCTTATGTTTAGTATTGGGTCTCAAATCGTAAGAAAAAAAATCTAGAATCTGCTTAAATTTTGGCAATGACCTTTTTATGAGCTGTTGAAGTCTTCTATGAAAAGAAAAGTGGGTGATATGGGGCAAAATATTTTACCCTGTATCGTAGGAAAAAACTCAAGGATTCTGAACATCTGATAAAAATTCCTAAACCTGACATGACTACATCCTTAAGTTAATTATTAAAACACATGAGTAAAATTTTAAAGATGTATTTAGTTGATCGTAAATTGTGTCTTTCAGGGAGGTGGTGGTACCAATGTAATCATGTCATTAGAATCTGAGTATAAACAGCACAAAGATGAGGATGTACAGATAAATCTTGTATCTCAAGAACAGTCATATAGTAAGCATTTGTCAGTAAAATACAATATGACATGAAGACACCTGAAACAAGATATCATCAGGGGTTTCAAAGCCTTACAGAGACTAGTTGCTTCAATCTTAATATAATCAGCTGTAAAAATGAATATTTTGACTTGTAAATGTCCTGTCTACTTTTCACTTTTGAGTCACATCCCTGATCCTATGACTGACAACACTGTTTAAGTATTGAACAAATTGATCTCCCACTATATATACAGTAGGTTTGAACCTATGTTGTTGATATAGTTTGATATTTTCAATGCCTTTATGATTTGTCCAAAGATGCAATATGCAATTGCGTTCGGCAGTAGTTTTAAATGTTGGGTTTTTTTAAATTTAGTACAAAAAGGTTGCTTGTTGTACCTGCTTACACATCTGTTTGTTTTTTATTTATTTTGTCGTTAGGAGGTACTTTTCATTTCATGATACTTTGTTACACAGGCTTGATTCTTTATTAATGAAACTATTGAAATGAAGCATTTTAAGGTCCAATCCCTTTTTTTGCTTTGTAGTTCAAAGTACTGATACATCCATTTGGTGTAATGAAAAACACACTATCATTCTCAGATATACAAATCATGGGTTATCAAGTGCTCTATATGTTAACTTTACCAGTTCAGTAGTTTTAATAATTACTTCTATAAATGTCTGCAGTTACATAAATTAAAACACCTGGTATGCAGTGTGCATAGATTCGATTTATACCACAGTTTTTCTAAACAATTAAAAATTCGTTTGCATCTTTGTCTTATATTATTTAGATAGACTGTATGATAAACTTAAAGCCATGGACAGATTTCCTTGTACATTTGAAAATGATTTTTTTCTTATTTTGTTCAAAGCTTCCTGCAAGGATTCTGATATTTTTATAATTGTGGTCAGCTCTTCAGTACATTTATATAATGATTCTGTGATGATCATTCACACAAAAAAGATTTATATTGAGACTTGTGTATATCAGTATCTGCATAAAGTAAACTTGATATTCTGTACAATAAATGAATGTTATGCATAAATTTGAAAAGAATGTGGCTTTACAAATGAATATGGAGTGAACTGTGAAGTTTTCAATTAATTTGGTCAGAATAACCTTTATTGTCAACCGTTAAAGGTCCTCTTTTCCCTTCCTTTAGTTTCAAATGAGGATATACATTTTCTTGTCATTCATCACATCATATTAATTAGTTGCAGTAGTAGATGGGTAAAGTGTTTGTTTTTACATAATTTTCACAAAAGTTTTACGGTCCATGGTCATGTGGCATACCCTATTCTCACCCTAATTTTCAAGAATATAATTTTAAATTACTTAATTAAACTCTTAGAGTGTTTATTTCATTTGTGATAATTTTGTTGCAGATTATTCTAGATCTGAATATAGTACAGATCCGCAACGGCGGAAACCAGTACAAGGAGGATTAATATCTACAGAGGACCAAACTAATATTGTCAATAATGAGTCGTTATCATCTCAAGATACAAGATGGAAAAGAATTTTGCTACTTATCATTGCTATAACAGTACATAACATTCCAGGTATTTATTTTTAATCTAGCATAAGACATTTATTATTTATTTATCCAATTTGCACCAAAAATACAGATGTAAAGACACCACAAGCACCTGAAAGGTAATAGATAGGTTTTGATATCACATAATTTGACTGTGAGTTATTTCCCTTGGCCACCATTTTGGAGAGGTAAATCATTTATCATGTATTGAACATTTTATACGATTGATTTTCACTAGAATTGTTTAATTTAAATTTGAAATATATACCTTTAAAATCTAATGCAATGTCCTTCATGAAATCAGAATATTTTTAAGAGGTGTAGGACAGAGGCATATATATTTATTTCAATACTTTTATTAGAAAAACATGTTACCTGCCTAAACATGTAGTACAGTCACATACATTTTGTACTTTTAAATTGGAAAGATTTAGATTAAGTCAATATTAAAATTTCAGTAAAAGAAATTATGGAACAATTAGATCATAGTTTATATGTACACAGCTCTTTTAATTTTTTCTCAAAATGAATTTATGTTTTTGCAAACGAAAACATTCTATATATGGAGAAAGTATCCCTATTAAATTCCATGACTACAAGACATCTTTTCTCATTGATTTAGTTCCAATGGAACTTTCTGAATAAATTTACATTGTTATTGAATTAATAAAACTTGCACAAAGCAATCTCTGTGTAGAGGAGTTAATAAAAACATAGTCAGTTATTGTAAGAGAGCACTCATATAATGCATTAGTCTAAGATAGCTTTGACGTCCTATGTCCTTTATGAGAGAGAGACAATTATTAGAAGAGAGCACTCATATAATGCATTAGTCTAAGATAGTTTGACATCCTCCTGTTCATGTGGATTCATTATTATTTGTTGGATACCAATTTTCGTGGATGTTGTGGGAACAGGTGAACGACGAAATTAAAAGATCAACGAATAACAAATTTCCTTTAGGCTTGTATGCAGACTTCGGCAAAACCAAGAATTCAATATCCACGAACATGCAAGTTTTCCTTAATCCACGAAAATTGGTACCCATGAAAATAAATGAATCCACAGTATGTCCTTTATGAGAGAGAGACAGTTATTAGAGTTACCTTTGTCGTACAGTGACTTATATTTGGTAATTTCTGTGTCATTTGGTCTCTTGTGGAGAGTTGTCTCGTTGGCAATTATACCACATCTTCTTATTTTTATATTGACGTCCTATGTCCTTTATGAGAGAGAGACAGTTATTGGAAGAGAGCGCTCATATAATGCATTAGTCTAAGATAGCTTTGACATCCGATGTCCTTTGAGAGAGAGTCAGTTATTGGAAAAGAGAACTCATATAATGAATTAGTCTAAGATAGCTTTGACATCTGATGTCCTTTATGAGAGAGAAACATTAACTATGAAGCAAATGATATATGTTTCATCTGCTTGACAATGGGTCAATCACAATTTCAATATTTTCTGTATGGACTGACCTCCAAGGGCCCCCATTAAGTCCTAAAATGAACTTCAAACAAGGTATGCTTTGGTCCTTTCTTTTACTGAAATTCATAATTTGTCTTTTTATTATTGACAGATTTTGAAACAGTAATGCATTTTGAGAATATTGAAACCATAGTAATAACTGATTGATTTCAATATTACTGTTGATTTTTTTTAAATTGGTCATATAAATGATCACTGATTTCTCTATTGAACTATAATAACAAACAAATCTTCATCATGAATGATAATTTTTTCAGAGGGTTTAGCAGTTGGTGTTGGGTTTGGTGCGGTTGGAAGAACTCCTTCAGCAACATTTGAAAAAGCAAGGTAAGTTTCAAAATCTTCAACAGTGACTTTAAACTTAGAGAAGGATTTTAATTTAAGTTTCTTATCATTTCCAAATATAACCAAAACCGAAGGAAATGTATAAAAAAACTGTATTTTTAATACTAGATTTCATAACAAGTCACATTTTTTTTTAAATTCTTCCTAAAAGATTGTTATGCAACTCATATTTTAATTTTTTCAAGTGTATGTAGGTAAGTTTGCTTAGTTTACTTGTCTCAGAGTGTTCCACAAATTTTGCAACATAGGATACATATATCTCTGAAATAATGCTCAGAGAAGCTTTTACTTATATAAATGATCAAGATAAAAATTACAAAAGTAGCTTTTTTGATGGGGTTACAAAAGTGCAAAGCAGCTTGTAGTATGGTAATGTAGGGCAGATGGGTTGAATGATAAGGATAAAATGGTTCCTAATTTTAGTAATTAACTCCTTATACATTTGTTCTCCTGCTGTTATGGAATTGTTTGAGGAATTTTTCCTATTTTTCTATTGGAAGGTATCACATATTACATTTATAAAATCAACTGATATGAACTAGATTAATTTATTGTTTTTTCTGTAGAAATTTAGCAGTAGGTATAGGTATACAGAATTTTCCTGAAGGATTGGCAGTTAGTTTACCTTTACGTGGTGCTGGTATGTCAACATTAAAAAGTTTTTGGTAAATATTATACTTATATTATAAATATTGATTTGCAACTCAGTGCTGTGCACAACCCTGGATATGGAAATTCTAGGGTTCTGTCTTTTTATCTAAATGATATTGTAAGCAAAAGAAGTTTTGGATAAACATCAATGAGAAAAAAACCCAATAACACAAATTATCAAAAGACATTAGCCATGCTTACATTTCTGTATAGATTTAAGATTTCAACATGTTTAATGAAATTTATGTGTGAAAGGTTTATAGTTATCAATTACTCTGTTGACCTCACAAATTAGTGCAACTCCCTTAGTTTCATGATAGTTATAGCTCTTGTAAATGTAAAAGACTTGTACATGAATAATAGTAAAACTATCATGCTTTACTTTTCTGTGTAAATATTACACTGGAATTTGAAATGGATTCCCTGAAAATGTTCTGCTTCAATTATATTCCAGGTACCTGGCAGAATGGCATTTATCACAATGTTCTTTGAATGAAAGTTTATTTATTAAAGGCACTTCATTTCCTAAAAAGAAAATAACATTATCACCTTCGAGATGATGATGATAGATGGCTATTTAACGTCTAGCAGCAAATTGAATGCACATTCAGGACAGGAACATATCCATGTGATATGAATATTAACCCTACTTTCTACTAAGACTACACGCTGAGCCAGATTTTTAGCATGCTATTTCAAAAGGTTACAGTCCGCAGGAAGACATGTAACTACCTGGACACATTATTTTGAATCCAACATGACCAGTCTTTGCTCTTACTCCTTAAGGCTGTGTGCTTATCGGAGAAGTAGCAAATACCAATTTAAAAGTCTTTAATTTTAACCGGCCTAGGTTTTATCTCCTCCAAGGTGACATTGAACTCATTTAACAAATACAAGTAATAGTCATGTCAGGGACTCTGACTTATTGCAGGTAAGTTGTGTTGGGTTGTATTTAGTTTATTGAAGTAAATTTCTAATCTGCCTATTTTGTATGAAAAAAGCCGACAAAGGTCTGTGACAGAGAATTTTATTTGTGACATTTTTCAAATGTTTACAGGTATGGTCAGCTAAGTGGAATGGTGGAACCTATAGCTGGTTTATTTGGTGCTGTAGCTGTTGTTATAGCACAGCCTTTATTGCCTTATGCATTAGCTTTTGCTGCAGGTGCAATGATATATGTGGTTGTAGATGATATAATCCCAGAAGCACAGACATGGTTAGTAGTTTTTTTGCTGTCAGAAATATGATCCTATCAATTCTCATACATAATAAGCCATAGGATAAACATTAATATGGTAAAATGTTAAAATAAGTCACCTCTTTGATATTTTGAATATCATGCAGTTATGAACTAAACACATTGCAAATTATCTGCCATGATTAAGTATAAACAAAATATAACAACTATAAATACACTTCAAATTTTCTTCTATGGGAAATAAAAAAAAGATCTAATATTGCATGATAAACTGTAAATTTTCTCCAATGGTTACATCTCAAAAAAATTATGGCGTATAAGCTCCCATGGTCAATCGTAAATTATTACAAGATTATTACTGGGTAAGTTTTTCTCCAATGGATAAATGTCAAACAATCATGCTGAATTGTCTTCCATGGTTATTACATTATTATTAACATTGTAAATTTTCTACAATGGTTAAATGTCAAAACAATTATGGTGAATTATCTCCCATGGTTAAGTGTAAAATAATTACATGATTATTAAAGCGTTAAATTTTAATCAATGTTTAAATGTTGAGACAATATTGACTTATCTCCCATGGTTAGGTGTAAAATTTATAATGATTAACATAAAATTGAGAATGGAAATGGGGAATGTGTCAAAGAGACAACAACCCGACCAAAGAGCAGAAACATGCATTTTTTTTCCAATGGCTAATGCCAAAACAAGCATGGTAAGTTATCTCCCATGATTAACTGTAAATTTATTACATGATTATTATCATTGTAAAATTTTTCCAATAGTTAAATGTCAAAACAATTGTTGTGAATTGTCTCCCATGGTAAGATGTATAACATATTGCTTGATTAAACATTGTAAATTGTTTTCAATGATTAAATGTGAAAACAATTAATGTGAATTATATCCCATGTTTAAGCATAAAATAGAAAGAATTATTATGGTGAATAACCATATAAGATAGAAAGAACAAAATATTCCATTACTAAATACATTGAAAGGATTATTTTTGAAAATATGAAAAAAAGACATTTTTAAATTATTTTAATTGTAAACATGTAAATGTATTTACTTTAAATACTGTGATTTCATTATTTTTTTTATATTTTTGGGATATTTATTTTTGTATCATTTTGAATCATGCATTAAACTAAGTACAGATTGTTCAAACAAAGAAATCAAGTGTTCACAAAGATGCAAGTTTTTCTCAATCCATAAAAATTGGTAATCGCAATTTTTTTTTAATAATCCACAGAATAAAGATAAAAAGATGTGGTATGATTGCTAATCCACCAAAGACCAAATGAAAAGAATCAACAACTGCAGGTCACTGTATAGCTTAAGTAAATTATATTTAGATTATATTTATTGAATTGTATTTACTTTCAGTGGAAATGGTAAAGTAGCTTCATGGGGTGCAGTTGTAGGTTTTGTTGTAATGATGTCATTAGATGTTGGTCTAGGATAACTTAGTCATAGGATAATTAGAAGGTAAGGTCAAAAGTGAAAGTATTTGACAATTATTGAATTACCTTATAAAAAGACATTGGAATGACAAGTACTAAACATAAACTTTTGTGGAATATGGCTTTTGAAATGACCAAAATAAAAGTGCAGATGTAAAGACGCCACAAGCACCTGAAAGGTAATAGATAGGTTTTGATATAACATAATTTGAGTGTAAGTTATTTCCCTTGGCCACCATTTTGGAGAGATCAATGGTTGATTTTCTTATTTAAATTCAAACGTGGTACAAATAAGTCTGATAAAAGTTCCTTACTAGATCACAGTGATGACCCAAGCAAGACTAAAAGAAATTAAAGTTTTTCAGAAAACAACTTGTTCTTAAGTCTAGCAGTCAGTATAACAAGTTGAATTTGGCTGATTTATGAAGGAATAATGAGCTATGGTAACAAAAGGGAAGTAACTCTTGATCAAATTGTGTCAATTGGAACCTATCTGTACCCAACTTCCAAGTTTCAAATACCACGACTTTCATCATAGTTTTATATAACAAAAAGAGACTCAGATGCTAAAATAACATCTTGAATGATAGACAATTATCAATCCCACTTGTTTAGCTTTATATAAGTTGCTGTAAACAGTGACTGGTGGTGAATAAACTAAACTGAATATCTGCAACCTACACCTAATTCCTTGTTAGACTAAGAAAGAAACAATGACCACCACTGGTCAGATTTAATTTGATTTAAGAAGTAGTTTTTGTCATAGGTTTGTTATCTCATTATACATTAATCCAACATCTCCTTTATGCATATTTTTACAGCTGTCAAAGTTTAAAGTAGATGTGATGTAGGCGTTATGGGAAATAATAAAAAATAAATTATGCATTTAGAATTTGTTGAATTGCATCTTAACAAAATCAAGTAAAAGGCACGTGTAGCATTTATAATTGCACAGATTACTGCCCTATTATGTATATACTTTTACCTATTATGTCCTCAGTGTTAGTGTTTATTTGTATTAATTGACAGATTACTGCCCTATTATGTATATACTTTTACCTAGTATGTCCTCAGTGTTAAGTGTTTATTTGTATTAATTGACAGATTACTGCCCTATTATGTATATACTTTTACCTATTATGTCCTCAGTGTTAAGTGTTTATTTGTATTAATTGACAGATTACTGCCCTATTATGTATATACTTTTACCTATTATGTCCTCAGTGTTAAGTGTTTATTTCAGAATATTCAGTGGATATAAATCCTTTGTGATTATAAATTTCAAATGAGAGTTGCCTTAAAGATAATTTTTTCTAGTTAAATAATTCTTCTTTCTTTTTCAGTATGGCTCCTTCACTGAAGATCTGTGATGAACTTCATTCATATAATAATATAGGACTTTATATTTTATGCTCAATAAAAATATTGATATTTACATTTTGCATGATTTAAGGAATTTGGCAACTGTACCAATTATTAAGTGTTGGATGATTATTATTTTTTTTTAATCAATTATCTACCTCCAATTTATTGACAGCCTTGGTGGTCTAGTGGTAGCGTGCTTGCCTCGATTACTGGAGGTCGTGGGTTTGAACCCTGGCTGGGTCAACCCAAAGACTTAAAAATTGGTATTTGTCGTTTCTCTGCTAAGCAGACAGCATTTAGGAGTTAGAGCAAAGACAGGCTCTGCCTGTCAGTCTTGTACAAAGCATGGTTTATATTTCATATCACATAATCATGATCATGATCTCATCCTGAATATGCATTTAATTTGACACTGGATATTAAACAGCCATCCATCCAATTTATTGACCACTTTTTTTAAATATTACATTGAAAGCATTGACTGTAGTACAGACCCCTTGGAAACATGTGAAGGTATCTGAAATTTTTTTCATCAAAACATTGTAACTTCAAAGCTTTGAAATCAATAGCTAGTTTTCATTAAAAATGGTTAAAATGTCTATATATTAAACTTTCAATTTATCATGCTTTGCATGGTCAGCATCCCATTTTGTACAGTATAGAATCAGTCTACAATGGGCAAAGGGAAACCAATTGTGTTAAAAGTGTGTAATAAAAGAATCAAATTGGTAATTGTTAAATAGACTATTTGAACCTTACACATTAGGCATAGCATCTAAGGGGTCCTTTCTGTAAATTTTATGAAAACAGGTGTTAGAAGCCGAAGGACATGGTTGCTGCAACAGATTCCACTAAGCTCTTCAAGACAGCACTTTCATCATCTCAGACATAAAATGTATTAGATGTCCTTCATAAATAAATTTTTTCCTTAAAGACAATGAATACAGAAGGGTAGTTCCGTATTTGTAGCTGACCTACATTTAGCTTTGGCAACTAGATAGATCTTCGTTTATATGCCTTTATGATATATACATATATACTACCCATCTATGCAGTGAACACATTTTCAGGGGCGGGTCCAGGTAAGGGCGTAATGGGCGTACGCCCCCCCTTTTAAAAAAAAACCAAAAAAAAAACTATCCTTATCTGCTTATATTGTATTGAATATGGCAATTTATCATATTCAGTAATTAAACACATACTCTGATTTCTTTTATACTGATTCCCCCATCCGATGGGTGACTTGGACACCTTTTTTAAACAACCAAAGCGGTAAGTAAATCTATACATGAAATGGTTGTTTTGTGTGACACTTCCCCAATGGCCATTCTACATCTACCCGGGGGATACTCGCTATATATATGATACCGGGGAATGTTCTGACAAACGGGGTTGCATTTTCAACTAAATTGTCTGAAATGGGGTTATGTTTTTTTCGCCTTGCATTGGAAGGGGTCAGATTTGACTATCTAGAACGGGGTATTATAAATACAATGTTACACTATTGTTTCAGATAAGGGTGAATGTTTGGTACCATTAAAACGTTTAAACCCGCTGCAACTGGTTGCATCTGTCCTAAGTCAGGAATCTGATGTTTAGTAGTTGTCGTTTGTTGATGTGGTTCATAAGTGTTTCTTGTATAGATTAGACCGTTGGTTTTCCCGTTTGAATGGTTTAACACTAGTAATTTTTGGGGCCCTTTATAGCTTGCTGTTCGGTGTGAGCCAAGACTCCGTGTTGAAGACCATACTTTGACCTATGATGGTTTACTTTTATAAATTGTGGCTTGGATGGAAAGTTGTCTCATTGGCACTCATACCACATCTTTTTATATCTACTAAATTGAAAACAACGTTCAAACCTATGATTGCGTTGGATAAAAACCACAGTCTTTTATACGTGTGCATGCAAAACAAATTTCTTGGTAAAGGGGTCTAAATACAGCACAAACAACATTTTCCAAAAGACCAAAACAGTGAAAAGGTATATTTTAACAAAACAGGTATATATATATATCAAAAGTTCAGAAAAAGCTATCGTTAAAGATTTATTTTCCATTTTTCATGCCCATTTCATATAACCTTTTAACTGAATTCATAACTTCTTCCAAAGATTTGATATCCACATGTTAATCAATACATAATTTGAATGATCCGAAGGCAGACTATTTTCACCAATTTGTCTATCATGGAGTCTGTTATAATACTTCATAATTTGATGCTAAATTGCTGAAATCCAGGAGCTTCTGACCTTCCCCACGGACCCTATACCAGGGCAACCGGAATTACGCCTCCCGTTCATAAAATCCTGGCCTAGGACTATTGAAATGTAAAGTAACGCCCTATACCCTAGAATTTGGAATTTCTCGTTATTGGTCTACTGCTGTTAAGATCCATCCAATCATTTTAATATACCATAGACAATTAATGGAGAGAATTTGGCATAAAAAATATCAAATCCTGACACTTTAACTATAAAATATACATGCTCCAAGTCAAAGAACAGTTATATTAGTGCATTTCACAATTATTTTATGTTTTTTAGCCAAAAAAAGGTCCAAAAAAATTTTTGCCTCGCTCCAATCGGCAACAGATTGTATTCTACGCCCCCTCTTTCAAATATCCTGGGAACGCCCCTGATTTTGCCAAAGCTAGTGGAAAAGAAACCTAATGCTATGTTTATACACTAGGTTTACTTAATCACAATAACAGTTGGCCGTTTTTTAACTCCTCTTCAAACTGATCAACTGGTGAACTTTTTAGCCAACTGCTAGTGAACATAGTTCGAAATGGAGTGTGTAGTGTGATAAAATAATATTTAAAGATCACCAAACTCTAATGATTGACTCAGTTTCTTGCGGAGTTTGGAACTATCAAACACCTAGATATCAGGCATACCATTTAAACAAATAGATTAATTGGTACTGTGAAAGGTCTAAGCACAGTTATTGTGTAATTTTGTTTGTCTTATCAACATTTTTTTTGGTCTGCACATTTTATTTCTGAAAACAAACAATACTTGATGTGGGAAAAGTTCTTGTCAGACTGCTATGTACAATTGATGAGTTTTGCTGACCCATTGCCAATGTATCACTTTTAATCAATAAATGGCGGGTCTTAAAAACTGAACACCTAAAAGGAAGGCATCTTCATGCAACACCTTTCAGTCACAAGGAATATCCAATGACCTCTATTGCGTTATATGATTGTTTCCCTCCATATCATTCAAGACGAGATCATTTTTTTTCTGGTATAGGATTACTGAAAAAAAAAACCTTTCATTAGTTTGCTGCTTTTAAATGTTTATATTACTTACACAGTTATAAACTGTAACATGGATATGCAGCTCCCTGGCCTGGACTATTTAAAAATAAAAGATTCAAAGTATATAATAAACTGTTAACACAGAGATATGTCTCGCCTATTTGTTATTTTGATAATGCAAATGTTGAAATTAAAATAGCAATACTTTAGCATGTAAGTTATGCAAATATTCAAAGTCAATGAACCATGACTGAAGGTACAGGGCTAATCAATCTCCATGGGAATGAGATGTGCCAATGCTAATACAACTGCAAACCAAATACCATTGACTTTTCATAAGTCGTTCCCTTTAAACAATCCTAAACACAAACATTAACTTGTAAACTATGTAAAAGTTTCAAAGTCAATGAACCATAATTAGGGGGGGGTTATATAATCTCCATGGAAATGAAACTTGCAAATGCCAATACAATTGCATACCCAATATCATTGACTTAACATTAGTGGTTCATCTTAAACTGACCTAATCACAAACCAATACATGTAAACTAAGCAAAAGTTTCAAAGTCAATAGACCATGACTAAGGGGTAAGGACCAAATATCCTCCATGGAAATGAGATGTGCTAATGCTTATACAACTGCATACCAATTATCATTGACCTACCATTAACAGTTACCCTTAAACTGACCTAATCACAAACTAATACATGAAAACTAAGCAAAAGTTTCAAAGTCAATAGACCATGAATGAGGGGGCAGGGCCAAATAATCTCCATGGAAATGAGATATGCCAATGCTTATACAACTGCATACCAAATATCATTGACCTACCACTAGTGGTTCCCCATAAACAGAACTAATCACAAACTAATACATGTAAACTAAGCAAAGTTTCAAAGTCAATAGACCTTGACTGAGGGGGCAGGGCTAAATAATCTCCATGGTAATGAGATGTGCCAATGTTAATACAACTGCATACCAAATATTATTGACCTTCCACTAGTGGTTCCCCATAAACTGACCTAATCACAAACTAATACATGTAAACTAAGCAAAGTTTCAAAGTCAATAGACCTTGACTGAGGGGGTGGGGCCAAATATTCTCCATGGAAATGAGATGTGCCAATGCTAATACAACTGCATACCAAATATCATTGACCTACCAGTAGTGGTTCACCATGAACTAGACCTAATCACAAACTAATACATTGTTGAAGCCGCCGCTGCCATCTCCGGAAACAGCATACCTATGTCTCGCTTTTTGACTCCGTCAAGGCGAGACAAAAATGAGGAGATGCGGTGTGATTGCCAATGAGACAACTATCCATCAGAGTTAAAATGAAGTGGTAGTTAATTAATCATGTTCTTCCAGACTAAAGTATCGATCAGTACACATCCAATATGCCATTTTAATATTGTTTGGATGCAGTAAAAATTTTTGTAGGTATTTCTCATGAATATTATACCTTCTTACCAGAACTTCTATTAGAAAATGGTGTAGAAAAAATATTTTTGGTATCACTTGTTTTCAGTGCTCTTTCATCCCAGTTCCTGTTGAGATCTTGATGTTGCCCACTAACGAGTCTGTTTGAATTGTAAATTTAGTTTCCTTTTTGAAACAATTTCTTGCAAGATTGACTAGAAGCTCCAACAGCCTGTATCGCTCATTTGGCATGTTTGCAATAAATTGATACAATGAACAAAAATATTTGTGTTGAATGTGAACTGTGGGCCAATATCAGTCTTGCTGACCATTTCAGATCGACCAAGTGTTTATATCCATTATAGTTTTAAAGATAACATTCAGAAATGAAGAAACAATTAAAATAAGAGTGCACACGCTTAAATGTCTCACCTGTTTTACTAATCAGGATTGAATACATGTTGAAAGCCTGTAATATGAATGTTTTTCTACGAGGAATCACATAAATTAAATATTATCAATGATCCATGATATGGAATGAGGTCAAGGTCAGATAAACCCTACCAGACCAGACAGACATGTACACCTTACAATCATACCATACACAAAATATAGTTTGCCTATTGCTAGATGAACTCTGCCAGACAAAATGAACACCATGCAATCATTCCATACACCAAAGGTAATTGACCAACTGCTTATAGTATGGGAGAAATAGACATCAACCACGAAAACTCAACATGGACTAGTGAACCACGAAACTGATGTCAAGGTCAGATGAAACCTTTCAATCATTCCATTCATCAAATATAGTGGCCCTATTGTGTATAGTATCTGAGAAATAGATCAAACCAGAAAAACTTAACATTGTTCAATGAACCATGAAAAAAAAGCTCAAGGCTAGATAGTTGTGTACACCTCACAATCATTCCTTACACCAAATACAGGCAATCTATTAATCATTGTACTGTAAATTCTGAAATTATTGCGATGTTTTTATTATTGCGAAAAATGCGACAGGGTTATAATCGCAATAATTTAAACTCGCATTTTGAAATTTTTTATATGAATTAAACAGGATTTTTCTCAATATCGCAAAAATTTAAATCGCATTTTAGTCTAAAATGACAAAATCGTAATAATAAATGCACGCAATAATTTCTGAATTTACAGTATCTGAGAAACAGACCAAACCACAAAAACTTAACAATGATCAATGAACCATGAAATGTTCTGACTGACATGTAGACATGGGAAAGGATCCCATGTACCAAATATAGTTATCCCATTACTCACCTATTTATTTCACATGGCAAATAAACTTCAATTTTATTTCAAGCAGTCGCTGAACCATGAAAATGAGGTCAAGGACAGGGGACATATGATAGGAGTGTAATCCCTATGTGTCACATTCCGCGACTTTTGTTGCCGGCAAGACAAAAATTATAAAGAGAGGAGTAGAACTTTTTTGCTATTCACAGTTTCTATATATGTATTGTACTTTCTGAAAAAAATTGGTATAAACTGTTCTTAAAGGGCAATAATTCATATAAGGGATCAAACAAAATTTCTACCATGCTGACATATTTGTACATTTTTTTTGATATTCAATTTAAACAATTTAAGGTATAGTTATAACATTCTTTTCAAACTTGAATATATCAGATTATATATTATTTATAAATTAATAACATGGCCATTGATACAAGCTATAGAATGTTCACCTCACTGCACTATGTTTAACTTTCAAAAGTAAGAGATGCAGCTTGGAAGACACAGCTATCAAGCCAGTGAGTAAGACACATTAGTATTTTGATTGCAATCTTTACCCTAACAATTGATACAATATCCATGATATAATTTTCAGCAGGTTGGTATCCTATGGTATTATTTTAAATGGGTAGGTATTGATTTCATTCATTGCAAGATAAAGATTCCAGATCAATATAATAGACCATTAATAAATAAAACATTCTCATAAAGTGTAACATTTATTTCTGCTTCTAGAGTTAAAGCATAAAACAAGCAGCTTCAATTTACAAACAAAATAAAATGACAACAGGACAGCTTGTAAAGATTTTTCCCATCATTTCAAATACTTCACCATTCACATTGTCAAAAATGTATATTTGTAGAGTTCTCCAGCATTAAATATATGTATCCTTCAATGTGAAGAAATTAGTGAACTCAATCAGAAAACACCAATTTTTTTCTGAAAGTAAACTACTTTTAAAGAACCTTTCAATTTTTTATGATTTTAGAAAAGGTAGGATAATACAGAAAAACAAAGTATGCTTTGAGAAAAATAATTATGATTAATTCAGGATGTACCAAAAATATTTTTAGAAACACTTTGTCCAAGACTGATGAACTCCCAATCAAACAGGTGTGTCCTTCAATATAAGTACAGATATAAGTAGAACAATTCCAGTTCAATTCAAATGTCCTTTGACATTGCCTAAATAACTATAATATTCAACTAAATCAGAACATTAGTTTTATTCCCCGATATGAAAAGATTGACGATATAAACCAAACAGCAACAACTCACAAACTTGACTAATACTAATACAGGTTAAATGACTTTCACAATTTACTATTAACAATAAGTATATCTTAAAAAATGATGTTATCCTTTCTAACTACCAAACTAACTTCAACGTTAAAAAATATCACAATTCACACATTCTTCTGTAGTATTCACTGAACAACCTTAAAATATCACAATTTTCCAATTATACAGCTGTATCTACAATAATGCACTTTTATCATAAGCCATTTTTACACAATTCAGCATAATGTTATCAAACAAAGTAAACATGTATTAAAATGCAAGAAAAAGAACTGTGGCTGCCAGCAGAATTGAATGACAAGAAAGTCCTTTCATTTGATACTTCATCAGTCATTCTCCGTAAAAAAGAAGATCAAAGTGAACTAAATTTTGCAGACCTTTCTCATGGACCTATTGCTTTTATAGTAATTTTCCTGAATAAATTTACCATTTTTGCTCTTGATTGACTTTTGACTTAAATATGTTACACTCAAACAAGAAATTAAATAAAAGAAGATTGTGTCTGAAGACATGAATGCCTCGCTCAAGTTTGCAATTTTTCAAGTTTAAAAGGGACATAACTCTAGAACAATTAATGACCAACAACCCAAATTCGACCTATGTCTACTAGTTTTGGTTCTTAGCATTGTGTACGAGTTTCATAAAATTTAGATGAGTAAAACTAAAGTTTAGAGTGCAGAAATGAAAAAAGTATGCAATTTTCCAAGTTATAAAGGGGCATAACTCTAGAATGGTTAAGTGACTCACTGCCCAAATTCAAACTCTTGTCTGCAAGTTTTGATTCTTAGCATTGTGTAAAAGTTTCATAAAATACAATTTCCTGATTTAACAGAGAAAACAATATATGATCATGTTGCAATAATGACTGTGTTTTTTTTTATTCTTAATGAAAAGTTTGTACTGAGGATGTCATAATATATACTTCATGCTGAAAGAGAAATTACTGTAACTCTATGGATTCTTTGTCTAGGATTTTTTTCATTACCCATTACTTTCACATGGATATTCTACTTATTCTTTTTCATATCATGTTTCATTTAAATGGTAATACCATGAAATTAAGAAACACAACATGACCTTTTCACTGACAATACAAACATAACGAATATCAAAAGTTGCACTGATGAGGATAATGAATCTTAAACTGTTAATGATAATTATGATTCAGATGACTAGGATTCTGCACAACCTTAACCAAAAAATTCTAACATGATTTAGGACGGATAAAAAGACCTGAAAACATAATGCTCCTTTACTATTATAAAAGGAGAGCAGGGATAACTGCCTAAAAATGTAGCACCATGAGCACTGACCCAAATAGATAATGTTCTACTGAATAGTATAATCTATCATGCACTTTAATACTGGTAAAAATTAACAGGGGGGGGGGGGGGGAACCAGGAATCCTACTGCATTATAGTGTTGTAAAAAAGTAACTTTTTTTAAAGAAAATCTGTCCAGCTTGGAGAGCAAGTGAAATTTACATTGTTATAAATGTGTTTTTCAAGTTCCATGTTTTTTTTCTTCAAAATTATTTACATATACAAAGGTACGACTTGTGCATCCAAGGATTTCTTCATCAATGCATAACTGTTAACAGTAAATAGCATGTATTAGAGTAACAATACACAAAATTAAAAAGATTCACATAATATTTACACTGTACAATATTAAAACATTTAAACCCTAAAGTAACAATAAACTAAAATGTATAATACCTGCACATATTAAAAACAATATCACAGATGGTTTTAAGTGGAGACATAGTCTAGCAGCAATATGTGAATTTTAAGCAGAAAGTTTTTTTCCAAATAAATGAGAAATCTATTACTGTTTTACTTATAACAATAAACACAAAAAAATAATTGGAAAATAACTATATACATGGCACAGCTACTGATTTCTAAAGCTACTATTGGAACAAAAATGCACTAACTTGTTTTCAAATGTATCTATGACGTACATGCAAAGATATTTTGATAGCATACATGTGGAAATCAGTTTTGAAATCCATTAAAATAAAATGAAAATATCAACTCAGACATTGCAATGTTATATCAGTAGTTTAATTTAAATTGCAAACTATTCCCATATTTGCTAATATTTGAAATACAGCAAAAAACATGTTTCTGTATACTAAATTCAATAATAATAATGAATTTTGAGCATGAAATAATCCATAACAAATGTGTACACAGAACAGCTATATGAAGGTTAAATGTAAAAGTACAGGTACCTTGATTAAACTTGCCAAATCGTTCAATTCCCCCCCCCCCCCCCCCCCCCTAATATTTCAAATAAAAAGGACTCAATTAAAAGAAGGAAGACTGAAATCAGAATAATCAAAATAAAACCCCTCTTCCTCTCTTCCATTTGAATATATCAATTTTGAAAAGTGAATGCTTAGCTTATGGGAAACCACAAAATCTTCTGGATCGAAAAAATATAGGACGGTTAACATGAAAGAAAAAATATGTGAATGTTTCGATAAAATCAAGACAAAGGGAGACCTATTACAGATACAAGAAATATGTTCTTTTGTGGAAAAGACTTTAATAAACAGCTGCGCCATGAGCGCATGATATGCCCGTCACGTTTTCAAAGAATAAAGTTCAATAACTTCTCAATGTCATATCAGAAATTTGTAAAAATCGAAAGGGAACTTACATCAATAGATATAAACAATTCACCAAAGTTTCATAAGATCTCCTGAAAGCATTTTTGAGTTATTGACCGAAAACTGGAAAATCCCCCCTTTTTTATTGAATAAAACCCCATAACTCAGAAATGTAAATTCTAAAATTTACAAAAATCAAACAGGAGCTTACGTCAATAGATATAAACTATTCACCAAAGTTTCACAAGACCTGCTTAAAGATTTTTTGAGTTCTTGTCCGAAAACTGGAAAATCCCCCTTTTTTTTAATGAATAAAACCCCGTACCTCAGAAACGTAAAAATCTAAAATTTATAAAAATCAAAAGGGAGCTCATGTCAATAGATATAAACAATTCACCAAAATTTCATGCAAATTGGTGAAAGCATTTTTGAGTTATTGTCCGAAAACTGAAAAATCCCCCTTTTTTTAATGAAATTAACCCCCATAACTCGGAAACGTAAAATCTGAAATTTATAAAAAACGAAAGGGAGCTCATGTAAATAGATATAAACAATTCCCCAAAGTTTTATGCAAATCGGTTAAAGTGCTTTTGAGTTAATGTCCGATATGTTGACGACAGACAACGGTATACCATAATACATCCTGTAAACGGGCGTATAAAAAAAGGGGAACAATTTCTTAGGGTTGAACAAATATACTTCTGTACATTGGATGGGGTCAAATACCTTTACCTTAATACAGGATGGACTGACTAAAGGAGGTACAGATTGGTAAGCATATAATGCCCCATACTATTTAGGCATACAAATTGTTTTCTAACTTCTAACATAATTATTCACAATGTTAAGGGGCCATGTTTTAGATTTTAATCCTTCAGTTTGAACTTAAAACAAATAACACAACATGTTTATGCATTTGAAGGAGAATGACAAACGAGTTGACCCTTTTCTAACAATGATAAATGGGCTACAGACAATGAATGCAAACTAATAATATCTGTCCACAAGACTTTTCTTTTCAATCCTCTCCTTTCATCCTTTAAAAATATAACTTTTGTCCTTTTCTGGAAATGCATTTTTAGAGTACTAAACTGTATATCAAACTTATTTACTGTATGCTGCTTACAGTTAACATTAATTCAAATTCAGTTTTTCATCATTTTAGCTACCAATATCATCACATCCCCTGAAATCATACATGTCAAAACTTTTATCATCACTTTCATTATAAGGCCAGTTAAAGTCTTTGCCAATAATACTTTTAATAGTTGCTGTAACATTTTCAACTGCTCGGTCAATTCCATGCTTGGTATTACATTTTTTCCCACTGCTTACAGGTAAACGATTACGAACATCACGTGACCTCGATCTGTAACTGTTCTGTTCAGTACGCTTGTATTGCGAATCTGAATATTTGTTTGTTTTCCATGAAAGTCTGTCTCTTGATCTTGACCTATTACGAGACCTTGAACTTTCTCTCGACCTTGACATCCTAGACCTTGAATTATCTCTTGACCTTGAATTATCTCTGGACCCATTGGATGAAGTGGAAATATTAATTGGTTCTTTTTCTACTTGTTTTTGCTTAACAGGATTGTTTACTTTCTGTTTTGCAAGAAGAGCTCCCCCTAAAGTCAAATCCACTCTATCACTTGTTTTAACTTTCTTATTGGATTTATAATTTTCATTAGATACAGGCCTCTTTGAATCTTTAGACGGCTGAATTTTCTTTGTTTGGTCTGACGAAGAATTTTTTACATCTTTTGAATCTGTTATTTTTTTTGTGTGAGACGATTTTTTCTGATCTTGGCTATTTAATTTAATGTTCTCAGATTTCTGATTCACCTTTGTTTCAATACCTTTCTTCTCTCCATCTTTTACATTAAATATTTCTGTTAACCTTTTCTCAAGTTTATTTGTTTCTACTGTTTTTTTTTTAGCTTTACAAGAAGTCTTGGAGGGTTTACTCTCTTTATTATGTCCATTTGTAATATCATGTTCCAAAACATTTTTTCCAAGAGCTTCAGCTGCCCACTTGGGCAATGGCAATTCCAATAAATTTCTACAAGTCAAATAAACTGTTCTTCTGTCATTTGGTGGACCCAGTCCTGGCTTGTCGATCAACATTTTTGGAACATGTCTGGGTTTCACACCACCTTTTAACAATGTCCTCCCTTCAAATTTCATTTCATCAGATGTAATTTCTTCTGAAATGTTCCTCTCTTGTTGACTATTTCCCCCTTCCCTTCCACTTTCATCAATGACTAATTTTGGAGACATCCCATCTTGCTGATATGTTTTATTTTCAGTCTGTTCTATTTCTTCTCCCCTTTCCGAAGCATCTGGAGATATAGTATTTTGGTTACAATTATTTAAAGCAGTTATAATTTCTGTATGGAGTTGCGTATTAATCTTCTCCAATGTTTTCTGATCTTCAGATGTTTTTGTTAATTTTTCACATTTTCCAAAAAACTTTTTTGTCAACTCTTCTACATCATTATAGAACCCAGTTGGCTTGATTTTCTCCTTCAAATCTTGGCCTGACGATTCACATACAACATTAGAATCAAGAGACATTTCACTGTCTGAACTAAAAGTAGGACTGTTGTGACCATTATTTGACCTATTTTCACAGACTGCAGGTGTCATTTGCTGTTGCCCCTGATGAATAAATGCATGTTGTTTAGAGCCAATAGGGCCTTTGTTGACCTGAACAGGAGGTTTCTCAGGTGTTACAATGTTGATCAATCCATATGGTCCATGTTGAGGCACTGCATTTTGATTATGTATGTTAAAGTTGCAATTATCTATAAAATTCTTATTCCTGTCCACTAGACTTTTATTTTGGCTTAAACAGCTTGGTGTCAACTCATTTCCATAAAAACCATGATTTTCATGAGCATTTTGAAAAGATCTGACATTACATAGATCATTTTGTAAAAATCCTGGACTCCTTGGATCTCTGATGTTGCTGTTGATGAAAGGTTTTGGTTGTTGCTGACCATACCCTCGATTGTTAGCTTGAGACTGTGTATGTTGTGGTTGATGCTGAGCATACCCTTGATTGTAAGCTTGAGACTGTGTATGTTGTGGTTGTTGCTGAGCATACCCTTGATTGTTAGCTTGAGACTGTGTATGTTGTGGTTGATGCTGAGCATACCCTTGATTGCTCGCTTGAGACTGTGTATGTTGTGGTTGATGCTGAGCATACCCTTGATTGCTCGTTTGAGACTTTGTATTTTGGATGAATCCAGGACTGCTGTTGAATCGGGAACCAGCATGGCTATTTTGTAACTGTGTCTCATCAGGTGCAGTTTGTCTTGTACTATTGAAATTGCCAGAAAATTGTGGACTAGTGTTAAAAAATGCTCTATTTGTGTCCTTGTTATTATCAGTACTGTTACTTTTTTCGAAGTATGGAGACTTTCTATTCATACTTGAAGGGGGTACAGTTGCTACCTGCCCTGGAAACTGATTACAATATCCACCTTGTCTAAAAGAATTTGTCACTGGAGCATTTCTATCAATCTTTGCAATACCTTCTTGCTCGGACTGATTATATCTTTCATTTTGGAAAGCAGAACCCTTTGAATAATTACCAACAAACTGAGGTGAAGTTCTTGCCCAGTCTAATTGTTCACAATGATTGAGTATTGAGTTATTACCATTAAATTTGGGAGGAGTTTTCAACAAGGAAGAAGCCTCCCTTGAAGAATGATTATATTCTATCCGATTTAGTGGCAAGGTTTGACCCGTAATACCAATTTCATGCCTAAGAGATTGGTCATGACTATTTCTCAACTCGCCATTGACACAAGTGTCTTTTACAGAAACTTGACGTCCATAACCATGATTGAAGTTGACACTGTTATTTTCTTTACTGTCCTGAGATCCATTTCTTGAAAACTGCTTTGTTATTTCCGATGGTTTGTCACGACATTCCATACGTAGAGGTTGACATGGACGATTCACATAACTGTTATCTCTATTCTGACGATTAACTTTCAAACAAACTGTAAGAGTGTTTTTAGGATCTTTCTTTTCATTTCTTGAATAACTGTTTGTAAAGGAGCTATTTTTTTGTCCTGAGCTAGAACTTTTCCAACTTTTTGAAAAAATCTGACTGTCATTTTGCTGGCCATGACCTACTGATGGTATACAACCAAACCTATCTGACAAGGATTTTCTCTTTTCTGGTTGGAAAGACATCTCATTCCAATGTCCTACAAAAAAAGAAAAATGTTTATATATATAAATATACATCGTTTTTTAATACTATCTTAAGTACAAATCTTATTGCAGCATATTAATCATGTTAATGAAATATATAAAAGCACTTTCACTTTCATCAATCCGTCATTTTCAAACAATTACATAACTATGTTCATTGGTTAACACTTTCTTTACCTGATTGAACTGGTCTGTTTCAATGACATTATTAAAATTGCAGGCGACTGTCACTCACCCTAATTGATTTCAATGAAAGTCCATGTTTTTTTGTTGTGATTTTGTAATCTTCGTGATGATGCTTTTAAGTAGCAGGCTTTGGATCATTGAATAATCATTTTCTTGTATTTTTGAAGATTATTAATATAAACTTTACATTTAATTTATGTAACACTATGGACATGATGGAAGAATTTAAGTCAATTTGTCAAAAACAGAGCTTTTAATCGAATATGGCTCTTTATAAACATACACATTCATGTATTTTCTGTATTTTTACATATTCATGTATTTTCTGGAAAAATACAATCATTAAACAAAACAGACAAATGCTATTTTAATTATTTCAAATGTTGGATAAAGGAAAAGTTTCAGCCAATTAGTTCCATGTCGCAAGAAGCTCATAACTTTGTCAGTGTCCAACATGCATCTGCAGCCATTGTTGACATTGCCTCGATTTGAAACCACTATCCGGAGTTATTTAAACAAATACATGTAGGTGATGTGCCTTATAACAAATAATTATTGCGTTAACAGCAGTTCTAATCCACATTTCAGCATAAAAAAGCCTGAGATTTGTAATGAAATAAAAATAAGAAACCATCTGAGGATTTTCAAAAAAAATTGATTTCGATGAAAGTACGTGTTTTTTTGTTGTGATTTACAATATTTATTTTAGAATTTCCCTTTTCTATCATTGAAACCATCAATCTAGGACATTTAATTTATCCTCTTCCTAGCATCAAATGATCATTTATTTGCGGTTAATATTTCACACAGAATACTTTCAAGATTTGTTATAGGAACTCACTTCAAACATATTTTTATTTTTTCCATTTTTAATAAAAACTTCTTAAACAACAGTCAGCTTTTTGTTTGCTTCCTTGAAAAAAATATTCGAAATTTACCTCCTTTCTTTTGATTTGTTACCCCCTTTAACTCACACATAAATTTATCTTTTTTTATCAGATTTCTCCCCTTAACACCAATGTTTAAAAAAGCAATTTTACTGCTTATGCATGCACTTAGTACAAAACCACTTCCAGTAAACAACCTGATAAAATGTTTGATTAACAACCACCATACAGGATCAAGCAAGATACTAACGTCTAGTCTATTGAAAAATTTATTAATATGCTCTCCGACTAGACTTCAGGTTAAGCTCTTTTATAACAAATTTCTTAGGCGACCTGAAATTATTGCATCACCACTAAAATTTTGAATTGGCCACTGAAAATTTATATCTGGTGGCCAAATGGCAACCTTAATTTTTAACCTTCTTTGAGGGCTGACCTGTGCACCAGGAAAAGTTTTTAGGCATGGCTGGACCTAGATTCATAAAATTAAATGCATTTAAAGTTTCAAAATATAAAAAAACATCATTGAATTTACATGTAGCTATGCATTTTTTATTGTTCCTGCAGAATGTGCCAAAATAAACCTAGTTTGGAAGGATGTTTAAGAAGCTCCCCCCATATAATAATTGAAACTGTTTTGGTTGATATGGACAATAAAAACCATCACAATAGATGATAATACTGATTTAAAATATGTTAATGAGTGGACCGTATCAAATTGAACTCAAGTTTTTGTTTAATTTGCCACCTTCTGCAGAGTCGAAAAATGGGCATCAAAATCCAGATAAGTTTTGAATTTAACGTAAAATGTATATAACTTACAGTAAATTCAGAAACTATTGCATGCATTTATTGCGATTTTTCAAGAATAGACAAAAATGCGATATCAACAGAACTAATCGCTATTTCGGAACCTGTGACACTTGACCTCAGAATCTACAACACTTGAACTAATGACGTCATACAACAGGCACTTTTTCCTTGTGGCGTCAGACATTTGCAATTATGACGTCAAAATTTTACAGGAACTGTTGCAATGTCCAGTAATGAGGTAATGGCAGACAAATAGCGATAAGGTGTATTATTGTGATTTCAAGAAAATGTTGTACAGAATCCATGTATAATGGGTTTTTGTGCTATTTAGAATGCATTGTGACGTCACAATTTCCATTGAAAAAGCATGCATAGGACGAATTCATATGACCTACGAAAACATATGATCTGACGATGTGAATCAGATATCAGAATGAGTTCTTTATTTATTGACCCAGTCGCATTATTCGAATTATTAAAACCCTCAAAATAATTTCTGAATTTAGGTATATATATATATATATATATATATCTAGGTTTAGCCATGCCTTCAAACTTTTCTAGCACCAGTTTGTCTGTACTCATAGAGTAGATTTTGTGGTGAACGTTCTCGGATTCTGCAAACAAGGCTACATATGTAACAGTGGTTTGATTCCGCCAGTGTACTTTATCCGGCGGAAGAAAATCCCCAGTGATTTTTATCCACCAACGAAAATTCACTAGGTTTTTCTATCCGGGTCCAGTGTAAAACATCCACCAGTCATTATAAGGTTCTAAAAAGGGTTTTTTGAAGGGGAAATATATATAAAATGTGGCTTTATAGTTTTTAGTGTATTTGAAACTTGCATAGTTGATTTATGTAAAAAGTGGAGAGTTTTCATCCAAGGAATGTTCACACTAGTGTTTTTAAACAAGGAATGATTACACTAGTGATTTTGTACCGGAATGATTGCACTAGTTATTCTATACCGGGATTAATTACACCAGTGCTTTGGATCCATCCATACATTGATGAAGTGATAAGTACTCATTTTCAACGCACGATATAAACACAATAATGCTTATTAACGAATAAGATTTAAATAATTTTTCTATGCAAATCTATCAAATCACATGCTTTTAAAATTGTCACTAATTGTAATATTTATTTTTTCTGGATTGCCGAAGTATTTCTGTGTATTTGCTTTTCGGTCGACTTGGATATAAAATCATATCTTCTATGTCAATATCAAAGGATGCTTCTATAATTGAAACTTTATATAAGAACAAATCTGCTCTTTAAATATGCCTTGTATCATGTTCAATGTCCTGATCATTGATAAAGTATTTTGAGTTATAAAACATCCTCCTCATTATCATCAATATTATTTACTAGATTGACTCAGATTAATTAAACTGGTTCCTTGAAAATCATTTTAATTTTAACCCATTTATTTATGTAAACAATAAACCGGTCTAATATCAACAAAACAACGATATCAAGATCGACGCTTTCACACTATTTACATCCAATATTCTCTAGTGAAAAACAGTTACCCGGAATAAATACACGGCGGAATGAAAGTACGCTTACACATATGCTACATAAATTTCTTTTGCCGTTTTGGTGAACATTCAGATTTATCTTTCTGAAACACAATATGCATTAACTTTTATATATCTAGTGGATGCTAGACCTTAAAACTTTTCCAACTGCACATGTTTGACTGTACGCAGAGCAATTTTCAAGGTGTAAACAACAATTTTTGCCCATTTGTTATGATAAACCGTAAGTTCGTCACAGAAGTACTTGAGAGAAAAAAACATGAAAATTATTCGTAAGTTTTGTTTGCTTCCCTGTACTTCCTGTTAATGTGCATACTTTTTTCTTCAATCGTCGTTTTTGTGGTCCAGATATCTACTTGTAAACAACTTATTTTCTCCTGGAAACTTAACGTTCGTCTGACTTTTTCGCGGGAAAATTATAATCATCCAATCAAATTTGGTTGCATTAGGAATATCTAAATTTTTTGCAATGTTTAAGAAAGATCAGTCAGAACGGCCCGAATTGAAAAAGTCACGTACAAGGTGACCAAGTTTGGATACCCACCACACATTTTTCTTTCAAGTTTTAATACAAATTTAAAGGTTTTCCCGGTAAGATGCATCTGACATCACTCCTCTTCAAACTAAATACGAGTTTTCATCCAGTTTATAAGTAAATATTATTTAAATGAAATCAAAATATAAAATGTGAAATGACCTTATAGTAGATTTTTTAATTGTATTCTTCGTCATCTATATTAACATACTTTTATTTTGTAATCTTAATCGAACGGACCTTTAACTCGCAAAATGATAATTTTGATGTTCAAATCTTATAAATCGATTAAGAGGACAAACCAATGTTACAATCAAAACTGAGAGAGTCGCATGAACAGTCAAACTTAAATGATGGGGACCGGGTGCTTCGACAGGGTAAGCGTCCCCTGTAATGTATGCATCCGACTGCCATGCGAATACACACACAGTCAAAATGTCACATGATTGGAAATAGGATTACACATTTGATGACTAAGAGGGGCGGGATGACCTTTTTCGGGAATTCAAGATTGAGCCGTTTAATTCGCGGGGATTCAGGATTTTAATCATAACGATATGCAGTAACGGACACTTTATTTTCACGGGAATTCGGGATTTGATATTTATTTTCTCGGATATTCGGGATGAGACCCCCCTCCTCCCCTAGAGATTGTATATACAACGGGCAAAAATTGAAAATAAAAGACAAAAGATATAGATTATAGAAAGCAGGTATAAGAAAACTATGCTGGTGATAACACCTCTCTAAGTCTGGTATTTGTGGTGGAATCAGTTTTTAAATCGTACAGGAAGATTATTATTCATTAATATTATGGTTCCCATCCGTCAAAATGCAGACAATCCTTAAAAAAACATAAAAAACACAAAAAACACACACAACTCATTATTCAGTATCTGAATGGAATAAACATTAAGTGTGGTAATAGACCGTGAAACGTGCTAGTGTAATCCTAGATTTTAAACTGGATTTCAATACTCAAATTTCAAACATTTTTTATTGTAAAGCAACAAGTTTTATAAAAGATATTTTTTATTCCATTGAGCAGAGCTCAATACAATTCAAGCTAATACTGACCAATTTTGTTGGCAGTTAAAAACACTTTTGCGAAGAACACATGCATCAATATGTATTCACAATTCTAATATATCTAGTGAAAATGTGGGTTTTTTTGTCATACAAATTGACTACCTGCTAAATTTTGATTTACATATTAATAATGTGTATAGAGACCGGGCATCTCAGTAGCTTAATATATTAAAATGATTCTCGCCCTTTCTTCAAACTTAATACACTCAATATATTTCATACATTCATATTGAGTAATTTTATTTTTTGTCCTTTGGCTTTGCATTTTTGTACAGAAACAAAATAGAAATTTCAAAAGGGCGAGAGAGAGCACTTCGGTTTGTTTCTGATGATTACAACTTGTGGATAAGGCTATGGTGTCAACTCTTTTGGAGCACATAATCAAGACCATGGCTTTAAACACCTTCAAAATTGTAAATAGTATAGCTCCATGATCATGTTTAAACCGTCTTCTTAAAGTTAATACTACATAGTATTCTAGTATATACAGCAATATATTGAATTTCCCAGGGTATGTACAGGGAAAAAATTGTATAAAATTATGTAGCTACCTGGTGGAACAGTCTCAGTCCTGGCCATTTCAGGACGGAACACAGTGTTTTCTTAATTAAAAATCTTGATTAAGTTTGGAATGGTTCAAAATGTCAATGTTCTGAATGCATTTTTAAAATTATAATATTTTATATTATATCTTCAGCTGTGCAACTTTTTTTTATTGGTTATTTCATTTCTTTCTTAATATATCTATTCATTCAATTGTTTAGCTTAATAATATGTGATTTAGTTTGCAATCTAGTAAAACAAATAAGGAGACGTGGTATGATTGCCAATGAGACAACTATCAACCAAAGTTAATGAAGTGGATGTAAGCAATTATAGGCAACCGTACGGCCTTCAACAAACCCATACCGTATAGTCGGCTACAAAAGGCCCGACATGAAAAATATAAAACAATTCAATTGAGAAAACTAACGTCCTGTTTTATAACAAAACAATTTACGAAAAACAAATATGACAGACATGAACCAACGACAACCACTGAACTACAGGCTCCCGATTTGGGACAGGCACATAAAGAATGTTGCGGGGTTAAACATGTTTGTGAGCGCCCAACCCTCCCCTAACCTGGGACAGTGGTGTAACAGCACAACATAAGAACAAACTATAAAAATCAGTTGAAAAAGGCTTAACTCATTAGATAGATACAAAGAAAAACATCAAAGCAAAAACACAGATAGGACGTGGCAGGGTATATATCCCTCCCTCATCCCTAACAACAACAAAAAACACTAAGTACAGATCTGAGAGTACTCGCAGTTACTGGCAGCTAGTTCAAAGCCAATAACAACTAATAATAAAAAATCATGTAGCTAAGACTAAAATATCAATCAGTACACATCCAACATCCAATGGATTTAGTGTAAAGACGTCATTAACAGTCAGAGACACACATGACCTTGTGCAATGCCAAAATATAGGTATCGACAGATTGCAGTACCGTGAAAGTACACTGATATGTGTAATATTTAGTATGGTTTTAATTTACTGATAACAAAACAAATATTTATACCAATAAAAACAATATTCAAAGATTGTTGAATAGGTAACTTTTTAGGATAAGTTTATTCAATGATTGATAAGTTCTCCCGGATCATGGTATCTAAATTTCCGGACTCGGTTAACAACATCACCGTAAAATTTAGGATGTGCTATTCCGTTTGAAATAGGTTTTCTACAGCCAAAATTCCGAACCAAATATTTGTATCTATGGAAGAATTTAGTAAGGGTTTTAAGTAATTTGTGGTAACGAAAACCCTGACTTAATAATTTACTAGTAATACATAGATTACGCGCATTGAAATCCAAAACGTCACTACAGACACGAGCATAGCGAACGAGTTGGGATATATAAACACCGTAAGACGGTGCCAAAGGAACACCACCGTCCAAGAAAGGAAAATTAACAATAGGGAACGAAAAATCATCCCTTCTGTAGTAAATTTTTGTGTAGAATTTCTGATGTATTTATAACAGGGGTTTCGGTCGAACCTGCTATAACAAATGTTCTGGGGAGTAGCTCACAGTATAAGTAAATAAAACATCAATTCGGATACCAAATATTATATTAATTCAATTTCAAATACAGCCACAATTACTGTTAAACACATTATAAATCATACATGTAAATACACGGCAAAGTCCAGTATAATATTATTTTTGTTCACTACGGGTTTCCGTATTCGTATTATATCAACGTCCGTGCCTTAGTCTGTCGGGCTCCCAATTAAATCTCACACTCAATCGGGTCTTTTTGCGTATGACATTTGCGCCGATTTTTTAAATTTTCATTCTTTCATTTGCGCCGATTTCATCTTTTCATTTGCGCCGATTTTATATTTGCTCCAAATTGCATTTACAGTTTAACACAGGTGAGTAAATATTTGTACATGTACTATACCTTGAACGTATATTGGTAAAATCTGGTTATAAACGTTGTTCACTTATGTTGAAGTTAAGAAAATCCAGGCCGTTACATATTTTAAAATGCGAACTCTAGAAATGACCGCATCAGTACGTTAGCCATGCAGAGAAAGAAAAGATGGACTTCGTTATTGACATTTACGACAAATATAGAGACGAAATCACAAGAAAGGAATATATTAGATGTGTTGCCTATACATACTCGGCAAGAACAGATTTATGATTTTAATGTATTCCGTTTTTATGGATTTTAATGTAAATAGATTTTTAATTCGTCATTTTAGTATAAACAGAGTAAAAACGGTGCTTTTATCTTAGGTTTTTACTTCTTGATTTTAAAGTATGTGAACATAGTGCTTTTAAATTGACTTATCCTGCTCAAAATCCTACTTCCACCTCCCCCACGGCCGACACTCGGCTAACCGAGAGATTGGTCGGTTAATCTATATTGAGTATGCGGCTATATGGGCGGTTGGTCTGTTAATCGGGTCGGTTAATATCTATACGTCTGTTAAGAGTAAAACGCACAATTTAAATGTTCAACTCTGTTAAATATACAGATTTTTTGCATATTATAAGAACCAAATAAAAAAAAGAAAAGTGTCTGACAAAATGATATCTATCATAGAACATTTTCCACCTGTAAAAACATTTCATAGTCTGCGCAAACTTCAGTAAAACTAAAAGGCGTCGCGCAAGTATGTGGTATTTATGCTTATACGCATAGCAATTGTTTTAATAAAAGGCGAAACAAACAATTTTAGATATCATTTAAAGGACACAAAATAGTACTTTGGTTCTAAAAAATAAATTGACATTAGTAAATATTTCATAATTGTAATATAACGTGAGTAATACCACGTTTTAGTGACTATTAGGGGAATAAAGTCTGTTAATGGGTTGGACAATTAAAATTGTGTCAGTTAAGAGTTATTAAGCCACGACAATTAATAGTTTTGCTACCTTTATAATTTCCCATTAAAAAAGTTTAGAATGAGATGTACTTGAGTAAAAAAAAATGACAATACGGTGCAACAGTATCCTTGTAGTAAGAGCATTTTTATTTTGACACTCTTTGCATTTTATTGAAAGGTGTGTCACTGCAATATAGCGTGATATGGATTGGCCGCTGGAATATGCATGAATTTATTATTAACGTTTTCAATCAGCCTTGATTTTTGTGTGTGTTCAAAGAAGAACGTTCAAAAATCCGACTGAAAGTGTCTGTCTTATACAACACCGGGTACATATAACGTGTTGTCGTCCTCATATGGACATGATATTTGCCACTGGA